TAAAAAACTGACTTTTCGCCCGTGGATTTAGAAAATCGCCGATAAATCGTATCCGCTGGCGATTCGCCCGTGTATTTAGAAAAATTTTCTAAAAAATCCCGATGGAAATTTGGTTTAAATTAGGGTGATTTTTCTTGAAATAAGAAATATTTTCCTGTTTTTAGGGTGATTTGCCCTAATTTTAAGGCGTATTTTTCTAAAATTAAGGGCGAATTTTCTGATTTTATAGGCAAATGCCCTAAAAAATTAGACAAATTAAAAAAAATCGTGTTTGAGCATGCTTAACTGAATTTGGGAAGCATGTTTTTTTTCTAATCGTCTATATTCTGGGACTGCTGCTTTAATTAAACAACACCGGCGGAGGACACCGTTTCATATTATTGTATTGGTGTGTAGCTTATATGGGAGCTGCGTTAAGAGGGGGGCCCGATCTATACAACACAGCCGTTAGAACTGAAAAATCATGTTTGTAAACGAATTAGGGAAATAAATATGAGGAGAAAAAACAACTTACTTTTTTTGGTCGTTGCGAGAATCGAACCCACGACCTCTCGGTTTAGAGTCTAGCGTCCTACCGCTGCACCACAGACCCATCGCGCAAGACAACGAACAAACTCTGCAGACATCTTATTTTCTTGAGGTCTACGTTATATTTTGACTAAAGGCAACTAAACCGTATATTTTTTCCTGACGATTGTGACAATTAGTCCCGTTTTCTTGCCAGCAAACACAAAGATGCTTTTAACTCAGAACTCCCATACGTTTTTAAGGTTTAAAGACTACTTTAATTTAAAATTCGGACGAAAAAATGTCCTTAGTATTATAACGTTTACAAAAAAAAAAAATAAATAAAAATCAAGTTGAATCACACAGGGTTCGAACCCACAACCCCACGACCTTAGTCCTCATATAGCAAAGTTGAAAGCGCAAGTGATTAGACCGCTGGGCTACCGAATTTCACACTTTTGGAGTGATTTTTAAGGCGAATCGCCCTTGTATTTAGACAAATTTTAGAAAAAAATTAGGGCAATTCGCCGTTGGATTTAGAAAAGGTCAAATCGAAGCAAATCGAAAAAATCGCCCTAATTATTAGAAAAATAGAAAAATTAACCCTAAAAATATTTTTTTATGGTCACCTGCCTTGAATTTATGGCAAAATTGTCGTGAAAATAGAAAATTTTTCTCAGTTCAAGGGCGAAAATTTTTTTAGGGCAATTTTCTAAAATGTAGAAAATTATTTTTATGAGTGTGGGGAGACACCAAAGCTGTGTAACAAAAATCGAATCGAATCAACGTAAATCGAACGACGGCAGTTCAAGTTTTTGGAGTTTTGGAGCTATAGCAGCGGCGCCCCCATCAACTTGGCGTCAGCTCTTGGTCAGTTTTGGGTTTGACGCCTCTCGGGGTCGGGGACGTCAGCTAGCCCATATATCTTACTTCCGACGCTTTTCGTGGCGCTAAACAGACGTTAATGGCGCGACTTACAAATCCCCCGAAAGTCATAAGGTGCATCAAGCACTCGACTAGACATTCGTATGCACTTACAAGTGGGGTGTGGAAATGGCCATTATTGTTAATCGATTGTGATATGATGATCTTTATAGATATGCCGAAAAGCTATTATTGGGGTTAGGGGGAATATGTAAGGTACACCTCTTTTACTTTATGATCACGAATAATAACAACTTCAGTGACTAATCAAGAAAGGCAAAAATAAATGTATTATTTAAGGACTGAAACTTTGACCTTCCTTGGAATACCAAATTTAAGCTCCTCGCGGATTTTCAAAATGTAAAAGTGACTAAAATAGTAAAGGTACATCATTTAAAATATTTAATATCGAAATATAAGTAAAAAACCTCAATCGGGAGTGTCACAGAAATCTCTTCCAACCAAATTTCCCCCTAAAAGCAAATCTCGGTGTCACAGAAACCGTTTGAAAATCAAATACACGATTTTAAACCAACCGAATAGTAGGCTTAAAATCTAATTTTCTTAAAATCCGACGAAATTTACTCTGAAACTCCTAGAAAACTCTGCAGATCCTGTGACACGTACGGTTTTGGTTGGTTGGTTTCTAAACCATCCGTCCCCAAATTCGTCGCCGGTGCTGTATTTTATCATTTGATTCATTCGTCAATTTTAACCCTGATCGGGTATCCATATGAAAGTACAATTGATAAAGTTACAAGGCAATAGCTTTCCATTTACATACATTCATGCATACATAAGTGCAAATTGCAAACCTTGCGGACATGAAAAAAAAATCCAAATGAATTCTAATAGACGAGACTTCTGTGTCATCCCCGTAGGCAACACTTATTTGATACTCATATATTTTGTATCATTAAATAATAATTATTTATTTACTTTTATTATGAAAAAGAAGTTTTTGTGACTTATAATTACCCAAAAAAAAAAAAAATTTATTAAATAAAAGTTAGGAGTTTTTGATAATAATTTCCAAAATGGTAATAACTCTTATTTCATTGCACAAATGAATAGACCGCAGCAAATTGATTTTATTCTTTTCTCTAAATTTTAGTCTTATCTTAAGTGTAATAAAAAATAATTTAAAAAATTATATTTTTTCGGTCCGTGGATTTTTTAATTGAATAAATTGGATTTCGTCGAAACGGCTTAGTTTGCTCTAGCATTTTTAGCCAAAAATAACTTCGTTCCTGCATTACCAATTGTTGGACAACTTCATTATGGACACAAACATTTGCAAAAAGAGGAAATATCGCTTAACTTCCCGGGAAGTGTCATGAAACATCCCAATCCCAACACAATGCTGAAACAAGGATACCTTGGCCATTACATATATTTCGCTTTAGCCATGTGGGACAGTTTCAGTTTGGGATCGGGATTGGGCCGAGCTATGTTAGTTGTGTACAATGTACATATGTGTGTATATTGAAAGACACTCGCACACATCCTGTTACTATTAATTGCTGCTGTCCGAAAAATATAACAAATCACCTTGGAGCGTTGGGCAGGACCGCCCGAAAGGACGAAACGAATGGCCACTCCAGACCTCCTTTCCCTCGCCCTCAAAATTCCCCGTGCGAGTGTAGAGACAAAAACTTGTGAAAATGTCAATCAAGTTGTACAAAAAACGAAAAATTCCCAATCCGAAAGAGAGGAAGGAGCGAACAACGAAGTTTTCCAGACAGCCAAAGATGATGCATTGTGCGTGAAAGGTGCATGAAGATATCTGACGGTTGTATCTCTATCCCTGCCAAGTGACAGACCCATACACCGGATAACTCTAAGGGGGCGCCTACGAATTGCATCCCACTGAGTCAGAGTCAGGGCCAGAGATAATGTCAGGAATCGGAATCCATCGTGGTCGGGGGAAGTCGTTCGACGGCGATTTAAATTCCACAGCGCTGCCATAGATGAGCTGTCATATGTGCAAATGACGATTGACAGCTGCCACAGTCAGCATCCGTTTGCAGCTCCTCCTGCCTCCTGGTCGCAATCCCAGTCCCGAAGCCCATTCCTATTTCCCAGTTCCCAGTTTCAGTCCCCTGACAAGCTCCTCTTCCTTACCTGCCCGTCAACTCATTTGGGAATTTCGTGCGGAGGTGCTAAAACGTGCCAAAACCACAAAACAAATACACAACATTGGGTTTCCAGTTAAAACAAGACGTGGTCAGGGGCGTAACTTTTAATACTATCAGCGGGCGGCAGGTCCGGATTAACTTGGAAGCGAGTTGGGCCCAAGCCAGATAATACGGAACCTGTGAATAAAAGGCACTTATTGTGGGCGAAGAGTTGTTTACTATTTTATTTTAATGAATAAACAAGAGAGTTCCCAACTTAAATGCAATCTGGTAATATGAACGCATGTTGGTTAGCTATTGTTTAAGTTATGATTTGTTTTGGTTTTCTTTATCACTTTTAGCCGATTCTTTTTAGACAAAACTTTGCTTTGCCCGTTCTCCTTTTGTTAATAAACGAGATGAAACGATTTAGTCGAATTTTCCTAAATCAAGAAACATTTGCGTCTTAACATTTTTCCTGGTTTTAGACTAACTTTGAGTCATAAAAACAATTAAAGATACAAGATTTTATTGTTTTTGATTATGTTTTCCTTTTTTTAACTTATTCAATCTTGGCGAGCTAGCCATCTAATATGCGACGGGCAAAAGCGGGCATATAATGTTCAATAGAGACATTGAAAAAATAAAAATATTTACACGATGTCTTTTGGTCGATTTTAAGAACGTTTCAGTTACAGTTTTAATAATTTCCGAGATGCCAGCGTTCATACGGACGGACAGACAGACGGACAGACGGACGGACACGCTTTATATCGCAAACGCTTCCATCTCCCTGTTGCATAATTTTCCCCCAATACAATTAACCCTTTTAATTTACGAGTAACGGGCATAAATATCAAACTCTAAACAGGAACAGTACCATATGAAATATAAAGGTTTAAAAAGGCCGGGTTAAATTAGTAAATATTACAATAGTCCATAATAAATCTAGAGGAGTGTAATGCAATGAAAGGTGGTGTCATTCTTATATTTAAGTTATTTATCCGAGTGCCTTAAGGAATAGGAATGATGTGGTATTCAATAAATAGTGCATTTGAGTATCATTCATTACGTTCATAACATTCACAGCCATATCACCACCAGCATAATTAGATCTTTCATCTTGAGTTGCCGGCTAAGAATCCGCTCCTGCCATGGCGGCTAGCAAAAAACACGGGCAAACGGAGAACGAGAAAATCTAAATGGAAACGGCAACTGCCAAAAACCGGTAGTGAATATACGCTACATATATGACTAACCCCCGAACCACTGATAAGGCCGGTCATGCGAGGAACCCGAGAGAGCGAGCAAGACGACAGTCGGAACACATGTGCAGCACCCGCAAGAGGAGGCGAGACAACAGGCGTCCGCAGGGGGGCGTGGCCTGAATCGAGCGGTTGGATGGTCTGAAAGAAATCGGGTTCGGGCCAGTAATCAGTCACGACTTGGTAAGCGCGCAGGCAGCACGTCGTCGTCGTCATCGGGAGTCGTGTTTGCAGTTCGATAAAGATAAAACCCCAAAAACCCAACCGAAAGCACTCGACCGTCGCGTAATATTCTTGAGAACCAAACATTCAAAACCTAGATTTCAAGAACTGTGCGTCAAAGTGAAGTGAACTAAGAGATATACCGGCTATATCAAAGTTACGGAAAGTGCGGTTCCGGCTGGACAATATGATGGACGTAAGCAGCATGTACGGCAACCACCCGCACCACCATCACCCACATGCCAATGCCTACGACGGCTACAGCACCACCACCGGGGCGACGGCCAATGCCAGCAGCTACTTTGCCCCGCAGCAACACCAGCACCACCTGCAGCAGCAGCAGCAACATCAGCAGTTGCAGCAGCAACACCAGCAGCACCTCACCTACAACGGCTACGAGAGCAGCTCCCCCGGCAACTACTATCCGCAGCAGCAGGCCCAGCTGACACCACCTCCCACGGGCAACCACCAGGTGGTGCAGCAGCAACAGCAACAGCAACAGCAGCAGCAACAGCTCTATCCGCACTCGCATCTCTTCAGCCCAAGTGCGGCGGAGTATGGCATCACCACTAGCACGGCCACGGGAAATCCGGGCACTCCCCTCCACCCCAGCAGCCACTCGCCGGCGGATTCCTACTACGAAAGCGACTCCGTGCACTCGTACTACGCCACCGCCGCCGTGGCCACAGTTGCACCACCCAGCAACAGTTCCCCTGTGACCGCAGCCAATGCCAGTGCCACCAGCAACACGCAACAGCAGCAGCAGCAACAGGCGGCGATCATCAGCTCGGAGAACGGAATGATGTACACCAACCTGGACTGCATGTATCCGACGGCCCAGGCCCAGGCTCCGGTCCACGGATATGCCGGGCAGATCGAGGAGAAGTACGCCGCCGTGCTGCATGCCAGCTATGCACCCGGATTGGTGCTGGAGGAGCAGCACGACCCCATGTTGCAGCAGGCCACGCAGTCGCAGATGTGGCACCACCAGCAACACCTGGCCGGGGGCTATGCCCTGGACGCCATGGACTCGCTGGGGATGCACGCGCACATGCACCACGGCCTGGCCCACGGACACCTGGCCAACTTGGCCAGCAACTCGCACCAGCAACACCCTCAACTGCAGCAGCAACAGCAGCAGCAGGCACACCAGCAACAGCAACACCCGCAGAACCAATCGCCAGCGGCGCAGCAGCAGCAGCAACATCAGAGCTCCGTGTCGCCCAATGGCGGGATGAGCCGCCAGCAACGCGGAGGAGTGATCTCCCCGGGCAGCTCCACTTCCTCCTCCACCGCCTCCGCCTCGAATGGCGCACATCCTGCGAGCACACAATCAAAATCGCCCAATCATTCCAGCAGCATCCCCACCTACAAGTGGATGCAGCTCAAGAGGAATGTTCCCAAGCCGCAAGGTAAGTCTAGAGCTTGGAATTTAATTCGAAAGAAGTTTTTCTTTCTAACATTTTTCGAAAGTCAGACTTTGGAGTTGATCAAATTGTCATCAAAGGGATCCAATAGGTTTTGGGTTTCTTATTTCGAAACGTTTTAAAAATCGACCAAACAATGGGTTTTTGGAGGTCCTTAATTCCTTTATCTATAATGAAATAAAATTCTGTGACTATGTTCCAAGCATGTTTTTAAAAAGTTTTTCTATTTTAAAAAGAAACTAAATTATTTTAAAAATCAAGATTTTTTGTTATCGCTTATAGAATCTTTTAAGATTCTTATAACTTGACCATTTTTATTTTGGGTATTTGGTTATTTTGGTTAAATATTCTAACTTGCCAACATGTCTACACATTCCCACCTATTTGTAGTAATACCCGCTTACTACAAGTAACTAATCAAATGACAGGGGCTCATTAGGCACCGCCTCTGGCTATTAAAGAACCACATATTTCTCTAATTGCCACATCTCAGCTTTTCACCTAACTGACTATAAAAATAGTGTCAACTCAAGTGGTTCGCTCAATAGATCACATATTAGCTTACGGAATAAATTAAACTAATCAGACAGTAATTATGCAAACACACTCTCGTATACATACAAAAGATTGTTTATTAAAAGAATGAGCGTATAAAGAAAAGCAAAGTAAAATTTAAAAAATCATAAAACGATGACTTTCAGAACTGATTGACAGGCCAAGATACAAGAATCAGTCAACCAGTGAAACCAGAAGAAGATGAATAAGAATGAGAATGATATGACGTCGGAGAAGCAGATTGAACAGAAACAAAAGTACCACAAATTTATATTTATTAAGAATGTGAATGGTTTATGAAGCAATAACACATCAACAATAGTGGGATATGAACAATTAGCGCTGCAGCAATATTAGCAAACATAATGTTGATGCGTCAGACAAAATGTCAAGAAAGACGTCCAACCGAGGGCATGTCACCTAAAAATAAGAATGTCTCTTCAAATGCCAAAGATTTCGCCCACCTCACCCCTCCGTTCTACAGCCCCCGGCTACAGAATCTCGATTCTCCCCGATCATCACCCCGCCCCACTCCACCTCTCACAATTTTCGCCGTTCTCTTGGACTCTCCTTTTGGCATATTTCTTGCATATTTCAGATAATTTTGTCAATGCCTGTGCAGTCAGTCAGGTTGTCACTTGTCACATTGCCGAGTGGAGTTTTGTATCTCGGAATTAGCCAGCTAAGAAAATGTATTTGCTTTGATAAAAAAAAGATTCGAACAACGTATAATGTATGCGATAAATAAAATGTTGATTATCCAAAAGAAGCAGCTGCCACTGAAAAAACGAGTATTTTTATTGATACTTCGTGAATTGCACAAAATTCGAGCGTAAGCTTTTAATTGCTTTTCTAAGAGTTTGAGGTCAGTCAAATAAATAAATAACAACTTACTGAATGAGTGTTTATGGCTCACCCTGAATTTAAAATAATTGTTGGGAAAGGTTGTAGAACAAATTTAAGGCCAAATTTTATACAGATTTCTTATGAATTGAAGTATTAAATTAAAAAGTTTTAAAATTGTAGTTAAATTTGTGGAATGTAAAAATATAACTGTAGGGATTAACTTTACAATTGGTCCACAAAGTTCTGTTACCCATATTCCATCCAACCATCCTTCCAAACATGCTGACCGATTTGAGTTTGTTTGTGGGCCCGTTGGTAATGCACTTAACCTGTTCATGAATCGGGTTGCACAACTGACGCTGATCGCTGATATCGAAGCATCGAGCGTCGGACCACTTACAGTTCAAACGTTAATCCCTGGGCTACACCAATAATCATACAAATATTTGCTTATTAATGCTGAAAAGTGTCATTTACATGCATCGTTTTCAATTAAACGACGCCACAGAGGCCCAAGTCGAACGCAGCCGATCTGAGATCCCAGATCGCCGATCCGAGATCCCCACGCGCCGCACCCAAAACCGAACCGCCTCGAGACCCAAATACGAGCCCAAAAGCCCCTCGAATGACGCGTGCAAGTGGAACCAGGCGCTAAGACGAGGGAGCAGGGTGGGGCAGGGAGTTGTGGATTGCACGGAAAGAAAATTAATTAATTTGTAATGATTAATTGGTAGTTTTGTGTTGTTTAAAAAATCTTGTTATCTATCTCAGGAATGGGTTCGGTAAAGTTTAATTGCAGTACCTTGCCTTATGAACTTTTTAACACTCTTGATGATTCTGCCTACACCTATTTCACTCAATTACTGCCAAATAATAAAAATGGGTTTTAAAAGTGAAACATTTTAGAAATTTCAAAAAGGTTGATAGGAGTAGGATCGAAAAAATAATTAATATTAAAAAAACAACTGAAAAGAATTCAATTTTGGATTTTCAATACTCTGGAATCCAAAACATCGATTACCTACTTTCTTCGAGAAATACGCTTTTTTCTCGATGTGTTGCAGGGGCGACCACAAGTCAAACAAACAATTAAAGCGTGCAGCCAGCGGTCGGGAGATGCAGCTCGAATCCAGAATGAAACTTGCAGCCAGGGACAGAGGCACAATTTGGGGGACAGGGGCTGCTCCTCGGCATGCCGAACTGGAACTGGAAGTCAAGTTGGCTGTCAGAAAAAATGATTATTTAAATAAGAGTCTCTCGTTTGAGCCTCACTGCAACCGAACTGTCACTGAGCAATGATCTGCTGCCTCGTGGCTCCCCTGGAATCCCTGGGACGTTGGGTGCTGGATATTGGATGTTGGATACTGGATGCTGGGAGATGCTGCAAGATGCTGCTCGCTGTGAGCACATGCTTGGGTCCATCTGTCATGTCATCCATTTTCAGGCAGGGAAACAGCATAATCAGCAATCATGGTTATAAATGGTAGCATTCGACATATTGGCATTCACGCACATACCGACTGGATGTGCGCTGACCAGTCTTCGATTCAAAGAGTTCTCTAATGTGTTAATCAGCATTTTTCAGTAACCAGACCACGATCGCCAGTTGGAGTAGGAAGGAAAAAGGAGCTCGCCATGAAGATTAATGGTCATTTTTACAGGGATTTGTCACTGACTAGGGATTGGTTTAAGATACGCAAATACACCCAAGGAACTTTCTACTTTTCCAGTAACCAATATCAATCAATGTGCGAAATCTCGAAAATACTTTTGACAAGATTATGAAGACACCTAGATAAAACTAAAATTAGCCAAAGTTGAACAAAATAAGCCAAGCAAGGAAACGAAAAACTTATCCATCATTCAAATGTCAGGGCTAAAGTATTTAGAACTCATAGGAACTCAACGTTTGCGTACGAATTATGCGAGATTTGAGTGGAACAAACTGACGCTTAAAATAATACCTGTGAGCAAATCTGCAGATTTGGAAATTGTATACCCCTTTTACTAATTAATATTTCTCCTTCCTCCTCCATTGATTTTTTACTTCTTATCTTCCGAATATCTATCCCTTATTAGCACCTAACTAAAGTTTTTACGACCTGATATAGTGATAATTTTGTTTACTTTTATTAGCCTTTTGATGGGGCCCAAACGTAATTGAAAAGTTCCCATCGAGGCGGGTCAGCCTTGTTGTGGTTGAACAGTTTAATTAATGCCTGGCAACTGCAAGTTCGCCGCTGTTTCTGTTTCTGTTCGTGTTTTATTGTTTTTTAAACGATCTACCACTTTGTCCGAGAATTTCGCCCACTCCCCTGAGGGCGGGTGGGAATTTCCACACGCAAAGCCACAGCTCAGAAAATATGAAATATGAAAATAGCTGACAAAAGTGAAGGAAACTCGAATTAACATAAATGTTGGTGGAAAAACGAAACACTAGAAAACTTTTGGCCAAAAGGCTGCAAAAGGTGTTAGTTCTCTGGGCCACTGGAAGTTCAGGGGTCAGGGGAGCGGCAGTCGAGGGGCTTTTGCTCGGGGTATTCAACATTTATTTGATGTGATGTTTTGATATTTCTTGACACCAACACGCGACGAGGCCCGAAGAGCGACGAATGTGCCACAATGAAAACGAAATGAATTAATTACGTGCATTTCAAAACAGAAATTGGTAAGATATATAAACCAGCGAGCGGTGACCGAGAACCCCGAAACAAAGACCCATGGACGAAAAATGAGGCAGACTATTTAAATGAAATGATATTGTGGATAGAAAAGTGACCACCAGGAATGCGAGATAACATCAAACGCTTGCCCAAACCCAGCCGCACCGAACTGAGCTGAGCCTAACCGAACAGAACCGAGAGCTCAACCGGGAGCCCCGCCCGCCTGTCTGTCACCGACATCGTCATCGTCAGTAACTGGGTTCTGAACTCTTGGGTCCGTCACAGAGGCTAGTTGGTTAGAGATCGCAGCGTGAGCGGTTAGAAATGAGATCTAAACTATCGTTAACAAGAAAAATGATGATCTTGGACCTATGATAAATACTCAAATAAATAGACTCCTTAACCTTCTAACTAATATAAATTATATATCATTAAAATATCAAAAATCCATCACATAAAAAGTTTGACTGTTTTTTAGTTACTTTGAAAATTTGTTATTAGTGACTTCTACTTACGATATTAAATCTAATAAGTACTTTAAAAAAGGTGTAGCACTTTTAATACTCACTTTAAAGATCTCATTAATTTTGAATAAAATCCCAGTAATTACTCGAGACCCTCTCACGCTTTCATCTCTATCTTAGGTTTTCGTATACCTCCTCCAATCTCAACCAAAAACAAAAAAGGGCCAAACCGGAGCCAAAAAAATGTATGGCATGTGTCGTGACAAATTTTGTTGGCTGGCGCGCGCTGAGTTAACATTTTTGAAAGCGTATTATTAAATTTCATTCCCCTCTGTGTCTTTCCCTTTCTCCACACACCTCCACCAGGGTGAGGGGTCCAAGTCTAAGGAAAATCGGAGAACCCAAAGGAGCCTAGCCTTGGCCTTTGACTTTTATTCGGCCGATCAACGAATCGATT